CGAGCACTGTGAAGATTGTAAACATTTTAAAATTCCAAAAATTGCACAGATGCCAGAAATTCCAAAGATGCCGGAAATTGTGAGAATCTAGAGATTCTAGAAATTTTAAAGATGACGAAGATTCTTGAATATTTTAGATATTCGAAGACTGAAGATTCCAAAAATTCTCAAAAATTTTAAGATTTCGAAGATTCTGTAAATTATAGAAATTCCAAAGATTTCGAATATTCCGAGACTCTAGAGAATCCAAGAATTCTGTAGGATATTTCGAAGAAAAAAAAAACGCCAAAAGTTCTTGAAACTTTGAAAATTCCGAAGTTTCTGAAGATAATAAACGTTCCAAAGATTTCAAATTCCAAATATTCTGAATATTCCGAGACCAGAGACTCCAGAGATTCTAAAGATTTTGAAAACTACCGATTGCAAACAATTCTAGCATTCTAAAATTTTCAAGATTCTAAAACCTGTAAAGTTTCTGAAGATTCCAAAAATTTTAAAGATTGAAGATTTCGAGGATTATGAAGATTTTAAAGATTTTAATATTCCAAAGATTCCATACATTCCAGAAATTCCAAAGATGTCGAATAATATCTAGAGATTCCAGAAATTTTAAAAATGCTGAATATTCTGGAGATTGATTCTGAAGATTCTGAATATTCTGAAGACTATAAAGATTCTGAATATCTTAGATATCTTGAAGACTGAAGATTCCAAAAATTCTCAAAAATTTGAAAATTTCGAAGATTCTATAAATGATAGAAATTCCGAAGATTTCGAATATTCCGAGACTTTAGAGATTGCATGAATTCTGTAGACTCTGAATATTTCGAAGAATGAAAATGCCAAAATTTTTGAAAACTTTGAAAAATTTCGGAAGTTTCGAAGATAATAATAAACTTTCCAAATATTTCAAAGTTTTCAAAGATGCCAGAAATTCTACAAATTCCAAATATTCTGAATATTCCGGGACTAGAAACTTCATGAATTCTAAAGATTCTGAATGTTTCGAAGACTGCAGAATTCAAAGATTCTGAAAACTGCCGATTCCAATGAATTGATTCTAAAAATTTTCAAGATTCTAAAACCTGTAGTTTCTGAAAATTCCAAAAACCTTAAACACTGAAGATCTCGGGCATTGTGAAGATTTTAAAGATTTTGATATTCCAAAGGTTCCACAGTTACAGAAATTCCAAAAATGCCGGGTATTGTGAGAATCTAGAGATTCCAGAAATTTTAAAAATGCTGAAGATTCTGAATATTTTGGAGACTATAAAGATTCTGAATATTTTAGATATTCGAAAATTGAAGATTCCAAAAATTCTCAAAAATTTTAAGATTTCGAAGGTTCTGTAAATTACAGAAATTCCAAAGATTTCGAATATTCCGAGACTCTAGAGATTCCAAGAATTCTGAAGACTCCGAATTTAAAACCTTGAAAATTTCGAAGGTTATGAAGATAATAAACGTTCCAAAGATTTCAAAGGTTCGAGAGATTCTACAAATTCCAAAGATTCTGAATATTCCGGGACTAGAGACTCCTGAAATTTTAAAAATTCATTGAAAGATTCTGAAAACTGCCGATTCTAATGAATTGATTCTAAAAATTTTCAAGATTCTAAAACCTCTAAAGTTTCTGAAGATTCCAAAAATTGTTAAAACTGAAGATTCCGAAGATTCTGGAGATAATAACCGTTCCAAAGATTTCAAAGATTCCAAAAGTTGCAGAGATTCTGCAAAATCCAAATATTCCGAATATTCCAACATTAGAGATTCCAGAGATTGTAAAAATTATTAAGATTCTGCAGATTTCAAGGATTGTGCAGTTTGTAAAGATTTCAATGATTTTAAAATTCCAAAGATTCCACAGATTCCAGAAATTACAAAGATGCCGGATATTCTGAGAGTCTAGAGATTCCAGAAATTCTAAAGGTGCTCAAGATTCTTGAGATTCTAAAGATTCTGAATATTCTGGACACTACAAAGATCCTGAATATTTTATATATTTCGAAGACTGAAAATTCCAGAAATTCTCAAGAATATGAAAATTTCGAAGATTCTGTAAATTATAGAAATTCCAAAAATTCAGAGACTAGAGATTCCAAGAATTCTGTACACTCTGAATATTTCGAAGAATAAAAATGGCAAAAGTTGTTAAAACTTTGAGAATTCCGAAGATCCTGAGGATAGTAAACGTTCCAAAGATTTCAAAGCATCCAGAGACTCTACAATTTCCAAATATTCTAAATATTCCGGGACTAGTGTCTGAAACCTGTAAAGTTTCTGAAGATTCCAAAAATTTTAAAGACTGAAGATTTCGAGGATTATGAAGATATTTAAAGATTTTAATATTCCAAAGATTCCATACATTCCAGAAATTCCAAAGATGTCGAATAATATTCTGAGAATCTAGAGATTCCAGAAATTTTAAAAATGCTGAAGATTCTGGAGATTGATTCTGAAGATTCTGAATATTTTAAAGACTACAGATTTCGAGCATTATGAAGATTTTAAAAATTTTAATATTCCAAAGATTCCAGAAATTTTAAAGATGCTGAAGATTCTGAATATTTTAGATATTTCGAAAACTGAAGATTCCAAAAACACTCAAGAATTTGAAGATTTCAAAGATTCTGCAAATTATGAAATTCCAAAGATTCCGAATATGTGAGACTCTTAAGATTCCAAGATTTCTGTAGACTCTGAATATTTCGAAGGATGAAAATCCCAAAAGTTCTTAAAACTTTGAAATTTCCGAAGATTCTGTAGATAACAAACGTTCCAAAGATTTCAAAGTTTTCAAAAGTGCCAGAGATTCTACAAGTTCCAAATATTCTAAATATTTTGGGACCAGAAACTCCAGAGATTCTAAAGACACTGAATGTTCCGAAGACTGAATAAATTCGAAGGATTCCAAGGATTTTCAGGATTCTAAAAACTCTGAAGTTTCTGATGTTTCTGAGGTTTATAAGAATTCTGAAGATTCTAAAGAATCTAAAAATTATAAAGACGCTGCAAATTCCAAAGATTCTAGAAGTTCTAAAAATCCCGAAATTTCGAATATTCCAAATATTCTAAAAATTTTTAACGTTTTGAATCGTCAGACTTCTGGAAATTGTGAAACTTTTGGAGGTTCTGAATACTTCAAAAACTGAAGATTTTTTTCCAGTGTTGCCGCCTCCCCAGGATCCGAAGCAGCCCCGTCTATTGAGCAGACGCCGCTAGGGAAGTATTTTCTAGATGTTGCAATTTGAACAAGATCAGATAACCGACAAAACACACATTTAATTGTCCTGATGCATAAATAAATTAAAATAATATTCCGTTTTTCAAAAATTCGTTCGAGCGAGCAAGATGACTATAAAAATTTTTATGCAAATTTCTCCAGACCTCATCTTTAAATATAGCGGTGTTGCGAACTCGTACAAATATGGTCGTGTTTTTACATATAAATGCAAATATGTATGTTGAAATCTTTTGACAGGAAGTTCGTATTTTACATTATTTTTCACTTCAAAAAAAAAATCTGAACCTGAAAAAATATGTAGGGTGTCAAGCTTTAAAAATGTAAGAATGGTGCGAACATTTCAAAAGGAACAGCCTGTATATTTGAAAATACTTCAACGGTATTTGGGGTCGACGCAGTTTTCGAGCATCTTTAAGGAGCTTTCAAACTTTCAACAACACTCAGAAAATAAAAAACCCAGGAAAATCGATAGACGTTAATTATTTAAAACGATAAACCACAACAAAAAAGGTTTGAGAAAGTCTGCTTGGTAGACGGAATTTTCAAGTCGTTAAAGTACGAAGTGTACCTATGTTCCAAACTTAGTACGTAAATCCGATTCATAAAGCTCCTCAGAATAAATATTAGCTGAGGTATTCAGACCACAATTTGCCAGAAAGCACTAGTCACCAGAAATGTTTCAATGTTATATTCATTATTTCTAAAAGACAGAAAAAGCTCTCGTCGAACATTTATGACTCATCCTTTGTGAGTAATATTGTTTTGCATGTTGCTTTTATCCTCTGACATTTTTAAAACGTGATAAATAATTTCATAAAATCCAGATATTTTTAAATTTTAATGCAAACATAATTAAATAAGTATTTAGAATTTTGTATCCAGTGTTTAATTCTCAGACGTCAGAAGAAATAAATTTAAGATAACATAAGTTAATAATTCATACCCTGTACTACGATTTTAAAAAATTCAAAATTATGTAAATGCAATTTCTCGGGGTTAATTTTTTACGCCCTATAAAAAAATTCATAAATCTTCCGCCCGCGTTCGCCAGCAATAAACTTAAAAAACAGCAATAATTCTTGGTCCGCCCGTTTTGACCAAACTCCGATAAGACATTCAAAATTAAATTACGACCTCCGATAAAACACGAACTGCTGTCAATAAATCCTGATAAATCATGAATACCTGGCCTTCAAACTCGATTAAGCAAGTCCATAAAGAAAATCGCCGATTACCCCAGTTTATTCTCCTCCCATTTTCCACTTTCCATTACAACCTTTACTTCACTTTTATGTCCGCATTGAAAGTTCGCTCTTTATGTGCTAGGCAAAACGACTTTCATAAACCGAAAAATTAATAACCCGCCCCGCGCTTTATTTGTTACTTAATAACCCCAATTTTTTTTTCATTTTCGTACAAGAACTCGCAAAATCCGGATTCGGAGGAACACCCCTTAATTAGAGGAGCCAGCTAACCACGGCACGGAAGTCTCAGTTCCATAATCAACGGCAAAAGACGTTAAATGGTAGAGTAAATAAACATATACATGCAGGAAATATTGGGGCACTTAACCACTTTTTGCGAACGAACGAAAACGTTTTAATACCTAATTACGGGTAGGTAGTAGGAAGTAATTACCATCTTGCTTGAGTTGGTATTTCTCGGTAATCACGACGATAATGACACGAACGAACGTAGCCAACATAATACGGCTTATTACTTTGTGAAGACCGACAAAGAATTAAAAGCGGCTTACCTTGGCGAAATCTATCTTCAGAGTGCAGCATCCCGAGTAGATGTCTGCTCCGTTTAGTGTCTCTTTGGCTCTTACGGCCGATTCTACACTATCGAATGTGTGGAAAGTTAAGGAAAGTTCGCTTTCTAGCGACGCTAATTAGTGCAGGAAAGAATGAATTGGATACAGGCAGCCCGAGCACGAAGGAAACGAGATTTTCTTATAGCCAAAGGGTGCTATTATAACCTTAATAACTAAATCGTAGCAAACATCCGCTCCCATTTCAGGAACGACTATATTTAGAAACGAGAACTGTGTTAAAGTCTGCACCGACCCGAAATGACAGTGCACCAGGAGCAGGTAGAATCCCGCCTTAAAATTTTGGTATGAAACTTTAGGCGCTCTGTATTTCCTGCACTATTTGCATCTGGTGACTCAGATTTTATTAAATCTCGATTTAACAAAATCTGAGTGACTATTTTTGGACCCGAAATTAAAACGCAATCAAGGATATTCCACCATGGCCTGCACTCCGTTCTTCTTGAAGATGACGATCCGCAAAACCTGGCCACTTGCTTGACAGATCGTGTGTAGAACATCCTGAAAAGAAACAAACACCATATAAATAAGCACTCAATTACCTTCAAATTATAAATAAACCGACTTTATTATAAATATATCTCAAAGGTAAGTGTCTGTTAATGAGGGAGCGGTATCATAAACGTAACAGTATCGCTTACATAAAGTTATCACATCTTGGAAGTGTTTATCATATCAGTTATTCCTGGATAATAAAAAAAAGAACGAAATAAACACTGGTGTAGTGTTACACAAGAGATTATGATAATATGAGACTTTTATGTTGTTACAATGTTATACAAGTACTTACTAAGCCGGTACTTAAACGTCTAATAAAACCGCTGATAATTCCAACCAAGCTAAGATACGTAATTTTTCAGGTAATGAAACGAGAAACTTGGAATTACATAAGTAGAAATACGCCAGTTTTTCAAATGAACCGGTCCTAATGTAACAAGGTCTACGAGGCCGCCTAATTCAACTGTCTAGCACAAACTCCGGGACAATTTACTTTCTTCAGATATAACAACGCTGGTGCCTGTACGAGTCAAAATTATACATTTTAAACACATCGTCTCGTTTTAATTGCCAATTGTATCTCGTGACAAAGAGAATTAGCGAGACTCTATTACAAAGTGATACGGTGTCACGTCCTAATTAAGTTATTACTGCGCCTATCATATGACATTTGTTTGAGGCAGATTATGTCCAGAGTGTGCTTTTCAGCGTAATTAATGCGTAACTGGAAAGTAGTCGTGTTACGATTTTCTCGAGTTTGATTAAAAACAAAATATCGAGGGATTTAAAGGAAAGTTATCCTAGTGACAGGGGGAGTCGAACTCGAGTTTTAATTAAAATGTCTTTACAAACTGCTTTGTCTGTAAGGTAACTGGGAAGGTAAAAAATTATTATGTTCGGTGAGGATCAATCAAGGTGGATTTTATTCAAGATGCTACTGTAATAAACGCTCTTTAAATTCTGTTAACTACCGTTTTTATCGCAGCATCCAACAACAAGTTTAGTGCTTTTTAAATTCCAGCAAACAGTAGTTTTATTGATTAAGGTGACGAACGGTAGTCTAACATTTACAACAATAATAAAAAAATAAATTTAAAGAAATAATTAGTTTCAAAGTCCGTCCTTCAATAAACAAATCGAAGATATCCATTCTCTATTCTTCCAAATTACTTCAAAAACAAGACCCTCAGGGGGTCCCCGACATTCATTCAAATTACTTTAAAAGCTAGGCAAGGAATCCCCGAAATTCTTTTAAATTCTTTCGAAAACCAGACCCACATGGGTCTGCGAACTTCTTTCAAACTACTTCAAAAAGAAAAGACAACAGTCTCAGACATTCTTTCAAACTACATACTTCAAAAAGCCAAACACAAGCGGTTTCAAAATCCTTTCAGACTACTTCAAAACCCAGACCAACAGGGGTCCCCGAGATTTGGTCAAACTATTTCAAAAACAAAACATAAGGGGTTCCTTAGATTGTTACAAATTACTTCAAAAACAATGCACAAAGGATTCCCGGGATTCTAATATATTGCTTCAAATATAATATACAGAAAATCCACCGAGATTCTTTTAAACTACTGCAAAAACCAGATACAAAGGGTCTCCGAGATTCTTTCAAATTATTCCAAAAACAAGACCTTCAGAGGTTTCCCGAGATTCCTTCAGACTACTTAAAAAAAAACACACAAGAGACACAGGAGATTCTTTCAAACTACTTCAAAAACCAGACACAAGAGGTCCCCGAGATTCTTTCATATTACTTCAAAAACAAGATCCACAGGAGGTCCCCGGGATTGTTACAAATAACTTCAAAAACCAGACACAAGGACCACCCAGACTTTTTCAAAATACATCAAAATTAATACAAAGATTCCCCGAGAATCTCTCAAACTACTTCAAAAGCAAAATAAAAGTAATTCCCGATATTCTTTAAAATTACTTCAAAAACAAGATCCACAGAGAACCCCCGGAATTCTTTCAAACTACTTCAGAAACCGATCACAAGGGGCCTCCGAGACTCTTTCAAACTACTTGAAAATAAATACAAAGTATTTCCGAGATTTTTTCAAACTACTTTAAAATCAAGATAAGATATCCGCGAGATTCTTTCAAACTACTTCAAAAACAAGATCCACCAGCGGTTCCCGAAATTTTTTCAAACTACTTCAACCAAAAAAAAAACAGTAATTATTGCATGAGATTCTAAATAGTATTATGATTCTGAAGATTTTGAATATTTCGAAGACCGAAAATTCCAAAAATTCTATGATTCGGAAGATTTTTATATTTTAAAGATTTTAAAATTCCAAAGATTCCACAGATTCCAGAAATGCGAAACATGGAGGATATTCTGAGAATCTAGAGACTCCAGAAATTCTAAAGTTGAAGATTCTGAAAATTTTTGATATTTCGAAAACTGATGATTCCAAAAATTCTCAAAAATTTGAAGATTTCAAAGATTATGTAAATTATAGGATTTCTAAAGTTTCCGAATATTCTGAAGATAAACGTTCCAAAGATTTGAAAATTTCCACAGATTCTAAAAATTGGAAATATTCTCAATATTCCGAGACTAGAGATTCCAGAGATTCTAAGTATTCTGAATGTTTTGAAGACTGGAGAATTCAAAGATTCTGAAGACCGCCGATTCCAATACATTATAAGCATTCTAAAAATTTTCAAGATTATAAATCCTGTAAAGTTTCTGAATAATCCAAAAATTGTTAAAACTGTGGAGATTCCGAAGATTCTGGACATAATAAGCGTTCCAAAGATTTCAAAGATTCCAAAGATTCTACAAATTCCAAATATTCCGACATTAGAGATTGCAGAGATTGTAAAAATTATTAAGATTCTGAAAATTTTGAATATTTCGAAGACCGAAGGTTCCAAAAATTTTAAAGACTGAAGATTTCGAGGATTCTGAAGATTTTTACATTTGAAAGATTTTAAAATTCCAAAGATTCCACAAATTTCAAAAATGCCAAAGATGGAGGATATTCTGAGTATCTTAGAGATTCCAGAAATTCTAAAGATCCTAAAGATTCTGAAAATTCTGGAGATTCTGAATATTCTGGATACTATAAAGATTCTGAAAATTTTTGATATTTCGAAGACTGAAGATTCCAAAAATTCTCAAGAATTCTGTAAATTATAGAAATTCTGAAGATTTCGAATATTCCGAAACTCTAGATTCCAAGAATTCTGTAGACTCTCAATATTTCGAAGAATGAAGTTGCCAAAAGTTTCTTAAAACTTTGAAAATTCTGAAGATAAACGTTCCAAAGATTTCAAAGTTTCCACAGATTCTACAAATATTCTCAATATTCCTAGACTAGAGATTCCAGAGATTCTAAAAATTCGGAATGTTTTGAAGACTCGAGAATTCAAAGATTCTGAAGACCGCCGATTCCAATACATTCTATGGATTCTAAAAATTTTGAAGATTCTAAAACCTGTAAAGTTTCTGAAGATTCCAAAAATTGTTAAAACTATGGAAATTCCGAAGATTCTGGCAATAATAAATGTGCCAAAGATTTCAAAGATTCCAAAAATTCCAGAGATTCTGTAATTCCAAATATTCCGAATATTCCGACATTAGAGATACCAGAGATTCTAAAAATTTTAAAGACTGAAGATTTCGAGGATTCTGAAGATTTTTACATTTTAAAGAGTCTAAAATTCCAAAGATTCCACAGATTCCAGATATTTTAAAGATGCTGAAGATTCTGAATATTTTAGATATTTCGAAGACTGGAAATTCCAAAAATTCTGTAGATTCTGAATATTTCAAAGACCGAAAATTCCAAAAATTTTAAAGACTGCAAATTCCGATTTTAAATACTTATTAAAAAAAATTAAATTCCGCATTGTAAAGAGTTCAAAATTCCAAAGATTCCGGATTCCAGAAATCCCAAAGATGCCGGATATTATTACTTCAAAAACAAAACACAAGGGGCCCTCGAGATTCTTTTAAATTACTTCAAAAATCAGGCACAAGGGGCCTCAGAGACTCTTTAAAAATGCTTCAAAATTAATACAAAAATTGCCCGATATTCTTTCAAGCTACTTCAAAAACGAAACACAATGAGACTCCGAGATTCTTTCAAATTACTTCAAAAGCAAAACCCACAGGAGGTCCCCGAGACTCTTTCAAACTACTTCAAAATGAATACAATGGGTCTCCAAGATTCTTTTAAACTACTTTAAAAATAATAAGAGATCCGCAAGATTCTTTCAAACTATTTCGATAGCAAAGCAGAAGGGCCCCTGGAATTCTTTCAAATTACTTCAAAAACAAGACATGGAGTGTCCAAGGTCCTTTCAGACTACTTCAAAAATCAGACACAACGGGTTCCCAAAATTCCTTCAAATTACTTCAAAAACAGACGATTCTCGCGATTCTTTCACACTACTTCAAAAAAAAAACCAATGAGTATTATTTTCAGAAAACGTCATTACTCTACAAAAAATTCGAAAAATTTATTGAGAAGCTTAATCTTGCAGAATTGGAAATGAATATTTTCAGCACGACGGCGCAACAGCTCATAGAGCTCAATGTTCAAAGCGAATTTTATGACAACCGTTTAATTAACCCCCGCACAGAACCTTGTAGCCACCTCGGTCACCTGATTTGCCACCTTTAGATTATTTCTTGTTCTAAGTGCTGTCACAGACAACTCATATGGAGATTATGTTGTGAAATTGCAAATTCTTTACGATAATGTACCTGCATTTTTAAAAACAAAGTAAATCATGTGCTCTAAATTCATTAAAATTTTGTCATTTTTCAATAAAAAGTCAATCAAGCAATCAAGTTTCGACTTACTTTTGGGCCCGATTTGTTCTGTCAATAAATTCTTGGGTAACTAGATCACAAATCAAATAAATCTTCCGGTATTTGGTCTGGCGCGGAGTGCGCGGAAATCGGGTGAACGGTGAAACAATTGCCCCAAAAGTATTGATTATTTTAGTGTGATCAGGGTACAAAAATTCTAAAT